ACACTATTATGACTAGCCCGACCATGGAAATATGAAGGGGGGTGTTGATATCATATGACACTAAAGGGGGCGATGTTCATGATACAGGTGTACATATGTAATGTATACTATATTCTTGCAGAATGTTACATCAGGACGGCTTATTTGTGTGTTTTTCTTTTTGTATTGTCCTCCTTTTTGGGTGCTATTAGCATTTCGGTTGTTGGAAAGTCCGAAAACTTCTTCACTATCCGCCTTTATTTTTCACTCACTACGATTAATTGGAGGACAGCCCACCCCCTCGGTCAACCAAGTGGGGCATGTATGTTCATGGCGTTTATTACCAAGCTTCGGGCGGCTTGTTCTCGTTTGTTCACGAACAGTTCGATTTGTTGTTCGTGGGTCGGCCGCTCGAACGCCGGGAACAAACAACCGGTTATTAGCGCTAGTAGTCATCTGTGGCAAGCAACATGCAACATGGCAGCATGGCAGCGNTTTTCTTACAAAAAATAGGGTGGGCTGCAATTATTGGTTTATACGTCTTCAATCCCCAAGAAATGAAATGGTCATAACCTGAGGTTCACGGCCCCGTTCACGACCTATGTAAAATTGCCCCTTCGGTGTCAAAACAAGCAAAAAACCAGAATTCACGGTTGTTGTCAAACGTTTGATCCTCATTTCTGCCCGTTCTGCTTTTCGGCCGTCAGCGAACACAGAAAAAGTAAAATCTGCCTTTTTTGAAGTAGAAAAGCAGAAAAATTGAAAAATGCATAACAAAACAATGTTCGTTCTGCTTTTTGAGGTGGCAGAAAAGTAGAAATTACATGTTACCAGAACATAAAATCTATCTGCTTTTCTACTACTCTGATAGCAGAAAAGCAGATGGCCACTTTTCGTCCTCCATACAAATGGGCTTTATAACTCACTTCGTAGGTTGCAGATCAGTAAATAAGCTTCCATAGACCACAGACCAAATCAGGAAAAATAAAGCTTCCACCCAGTGGCGTAAATCTGGGGATGGGGAATACGGTTGGGCGATTCACAATAGTGCGCCTCCAAGAGTTTGCAACACGTTGACCAATCACAAGGCGCAAAATCTGTCGACCCTTTCCACACGCGCACTGGGTCGACAGATTTAGCACACTGTGATTTGTCAACGCGTTGCGAACTCTTGGAGGCACACTATTATGACTAGCCCGACCATGGAAATATGAAGGGGTGGGGTGTTGATATCATATGAAACTAAAGGGGGCGATGTTCATGATACAGGTGTACATGTACATGTACATATGTAATGTATATTATACTCTTGCATTCTTCTCTTCTATATTTGTGTTTCGTTTTTTTGCATCGTCCTCCTTTTTGGGTGCTATTAGCATTTCGGTTGTTGGAAAGTCCGAAAACTTCTTCACTATCCGCCTTTATTTTTCACTCACTACGATTAATTGGGGGAGAGCCCACCCCCTCGGTCAACCAAGTGGGGCATGTAAGTTCATGGCGTTTATTACCAAGCTTCGGGCGGCTTGTTCTCGTTTGTTCACAAACAGTTCGATTTGTTGTTCGTGGGTCGGCCGCTCGAACGCCGGGAACAAACAACCGGTTATTACCGCTAGTAGTCATCTGTGGCAAGCAACATGCAACATGGCAGCATGGCAGCATGGCAGCGNTCCTTGTGCATTCTTCGAGAGTTTGTGTCGGATAACTTGGCTAACTTCTTTTCCATTTAAAAATAATCATTTCTGTCATGGAAAATTATTAGGCCTAATGTTAATTTTGCAAAACTTCCCATTGTCTTCGGCTTTGTAAAGCCATCTCGATACTTTTGGCGGCTGTTCAAAAATCAAATCTGACGAGTTTTTCCGTGTCATTTGTGTAAAATCCCGACGAGGAGGTAATAGTTCTTGGGTTGTGTTCCCGCCGTTCGAGCGCCTGAACATGAAACACGTCGAGAACGGATCGCCCGAACTCGACCAAAGTGTGCGTGCGCAAGATTTGCACTTAACAACGGCGTAGCAAAAGGCTATGTCTGAATTCGCGCGCTCTGATTGGAAAATCAATGGATTTCCCGGAAACGGAGCATACATAATGAAATCTTTCATTACAAATCCAAATTTCACTCATCGTTTTATTTTTCAGTAGCGTTGATTCTGTGCCCTACCTCAAAAAAGTAATGAAAAATATGGTTTTAAATAACCCCCAATTTTTTTTTTCACCTGAAAATTAAATTCCATCTTTAAAATAAGTTTTCCTGGTTATTTAAACCAGATTCACATAAACTAAAGATTGTCTCAATCGATTGCACTCAAAAAGTGGGAATCTGCAGGATAAACATTTTGTAAAATGAGTTTGAATTTAAACCAAATTTTCGCGCCAAATCATGTGAATCCAGACATTTTTTCTGGGAAAATACATTTATGTCACATATCTCATCTAAAAGAAAAAAAACCTGACAAAACGTAATTCTTAGAATCAGGAATTATTGCTTTGTTCAACTTTTTGACAAAAAGAGAGGATACCCTTGCACCATACTCTTGCAAGGGCAGATTTTTGAGTAACATTCTTATAGCGACGAGTCACGGGTCAAGTGCAGTCGTGTGTGCGTGACGTTTTTAGATGTGTACGCGTGACATGTACACTGTACGTGTTTATGCCCAATGTTCTGTGGCGGAAGCGACGACTTCGGCGTCTGGTCAGTGTCCACAGCAGCAGAAATGATGAACAGGAAATGTCACTAAGGTAACGATTCTACTTTATGAAATGGCATCAGTACTAACGAAATCACTACAATCTAACAGAAAATTTTTGGTAATAAAAATGGATACAAAATTGCTTTAAATTTGTGTGCACCGATACGATTTGGGGGTGAGTCAAAATGACCTGATTAAACAATAAATAACTGAAATCAATGAATCTTTAATTTGGTGCTAGATTTTTGTCTGCGAAAACTTATTTTCTATTAAAAATTATTTGATGAAATTAGTGCAAACTTCTGCAATTTCGCTTTTTGGCGTTGGTAGAAAGGGTCCGCAAAATCCACTTTTTACCGTTACTTAAAATCTTACGAATGGAGGAAAAATGTGTGTTCGTGGTGTCGTGTTTAGATCCTCCCGAAATTTATTTATGCTTCTACACTTTGATATTTTACGAGGTCAGTCGTTTCGTGCTATAATGTCTTCGGCTTGCACGAAAAACCGCTTGTTGTCTGCTTGAAAATGAAGTGCATATGCGCGCTTGTAATGAACATTGTCTCTATGGGGCATGAACATGGGCCTACGTGGTGGTGGTGGTGGTGGTGGGGGTGGTGGTGGTGGTGG